GACGATTACATTATCTTTCCTTGCCGAATATAAAAATGTAGCACGTGCATTCTTGTGAATTACAGTATATTAACACTGTCACAGCAGGAACTTACTTACCGTATCTCTAAAACTTGAACTAATATTGAAAAAATAAGTTTCATTGCGGTTTTAGCACATTAAAAGTAGTAATATTTTGTTGATTTTATTTAGGATATTTTTTGGCTGTTGATCAGTGATATTAACTCCAATGCTAAACAACATGTAGATGACATATTCAAAGATCCTGATGAAATTTATAATTATTTCCTTAAATGTATTCCAAAAAGTTGATGAATTACTTCTATCTACAAAATAGAAATTGGACAAATGAATTCCGTTTCAATCTAGTCAATGAGTTACTAGTTTTGCATACAGTCACGACTATAAGAAACACGTGTCCGGGCTCTGATGACATATCTATATCCCTGATCAAGCTAAGTTGTCCGTTTATTTTGCCTTTCTTAGTAAACATTATCAATTCGATAATAGTAACACCAAAATTCCCTTCTTCTGGAAAAAGGCGAATATTACGCCAATCCCTAAAACTAATAATCCTGAACAGTTGTCAGATTTAAGAGCAATAAGTATTTTATGCGGACTGTCTAAGCTTGTAGAAAAAGTATTAGCAAAACAACTTATTGATTATTTAAACACAAATAGACTCCTGCCTTCCACGCAGTCGGGATTTCGAGCAGGTTTCAGCTGTGCAACTGCACTGCTTCATATAACAGATAACAGACGATATAATACAGTCGTTACACCAGGACCAGTCAACCGTTCTTGTGCTGTTAGATTTTAGTAAGGCTTTCGACACGATAGATCATGCCACACTTTTAGCTATCTTAAAATCCTGCGGAGCATGTTTTGAGCCTTTGCAGCTTTTCAAATCATACTTGGAAAATCGTAGTCAAACAGTCAAGCTTGGTTCTCGAAAATCTGCATCCATGACAATCAAATCGGGTGTGCCGCAAGGCTCGGTGTTGGGACCATTGCTTTTCACATTGTACACTAGTCGGTTTACCAAGGTTATTAAAACCAGCTCAGCACATATGTATGCGGATGACACGCAGGTATACTCGCATCGTTCTTTCTCGATGACTGGACAATAATAAATAACCAAATTAATCACGATCTTGCTACTCCGGCAGATATTTCTGCAAGGCATTCATCCCTACTAAATCCTAACAAGTCTGTGGCTATGGTATTTGCTAAAAAATCTGCTCGCCAGTTTTTGGAATCAAACTTGAAATTAAATGTAAGTAATACTGTCATTGAAATTACAGGTGATGTAGATGTGTAGATGTCCATAATGTTGACACGAGACTTAAGCATCTAATCAATATATCATCTCACAGGACAGTTCTTTTTGAAAGAAGCTTCAAATTTACAATTGCTAAATATTATAATTCTCTTCCTTCTTATCTTAAATCATGCAATCCACATAAATTTAAGGAACTAGTTTATGATTACTTTATGACCAATTAAATTGTTACAACTTCCAAGTTAAATTTAGGCGACCCTATGTCTGTTTTTTGGTTAGTGTTAGGTTAGGATATTTTTTTACATGTATTCTAATACTGGCAAGGGTTGAGTGGAAGAACACCTGTAGGTGAACTGCCCTTTGAGGTTTTCCCAATATCATGATTTCCTTCTCGTGTATGTGTGTCTGTGTGTTTGTGCGAAATGTACGTATATAATGGAGAAATAAATAACATTATTATTATTATTTTTAAAAAAATGTTTTTTTGCAACTAAGCAACATTTTGTTAGTTGCAACTTTGACCTGATTTAAGCGACTTCATATCTCTTAAGGTTTCCGAGATCCCAATAGTAAGGGTCGAATTTGAAACACCCGGTATATAAGGTAGGTTCTAAAACTAGATAACGCTGGTGAGGTTGGATTACTTCCCTAATCTACTAAATGTAGTATGGTGTATCTGAAGTCACTTGAAATAGCATAAAAACCTTTGGTCGGCGCGTCCTTTGTAATTTTATGACGTATCATAGGCGTGCGGCATTTATTTAGAACGATAATAATAATGTTTTTATATCACAATAAATGGATTTTACTATCTTCTTATTTTTTTGATTTGGGATAAAAAATACTTATATTGGGAGTTTAATTTATGTTGACTGAAAGTTAAGAAATGGAAAAATTACAGAATTCCAACGTTTGACATAGGCAAATATTTACATAGCAGGTAGGTATATAAAAAGGTATATAAAGACTTACATTATAGGTATTTATATATCATCCTCGCCTTCGGAGCTGTCGCTAGAGTCATCTTGTAGAGGAATTACAACGGGATTTACAGGAGGCAAAACACAATATTCATTTTCTTTTTCAATAATATGCGTAGAACACTGCTTCCATAGGTCTGTGGCAGCAATATGAGATACTGCATCTCTTATTGTGCCCAATGGCGATTCACTTAATTGAGGGGTCTGATTATGTTTTCTTACTTTTTTTTAAAAGCAGCCCAGACCAACTCAATCGGGTTAAAAATGCAGTAATAGGGAGGTAGACGTAATACTTCATGGCCATTTTGCTGAAGCAGATTGTCAACAACATACTCTTTTTCAAATTTTTGCCTTTTAATAAGATCCAATAATATGGCTTTGGTTGATTTTTGTGGTATTTCCATTCCCTTATCCTTCATAAAATCAATAATGTCTTGTTTTTTTGTGCCTGTATTCGGAATTTTGTTTTTCTGTCGGGAATGGTATGGCGCATTGTCCATAATAATCACTGAATTTGGGGAAACGTTTGGTATTAACTGCTGCTCTATCCACTTTTCAAATAAGTCGGAGGTCATGTCCTCATGATAGTCGGCACATGATTCTTTGATATTTTTGGCAGATAACAGCAAGGCATTAGGTATAAATCCATTTTCACTGCCAGCATGGAGAATAATGATTCGTTTTCCACGGTTGCATGGTGCATTTAAAATGCACTTGTTGCTGTCCTCAACCTAGCCGTACTGCACAACATCATGGGTATCATACCACGTTTCATCCAGGTAAATCAGATTTCTTTTCTGCTCTCTATAGATTTTAACTTTGTGCAAAAATTCTTGGCACAATTCAACGATTCGAGACGACTCCATAATCACCATTCTTTTATCTAATTTTTTGTATTGAAAACCACACAGTTTTACAATACAGTGCAGTGAGTCTAAGCATTTGTAATTATAAAAATCTTCAGGATAATCTTTTAATTTATTCCGTATCATTTCCAACGTGGGCACCAAATTTTCTTTATAAAATCCGTATATTATACGACGAATATCTTCCTGAAAACCCACGTCTATTCTTTTTAATTTTTGCCCTATGCGCTTTCTGTGGAAGGAATGGTTGACTACATCTCCCCTTTTTATAACCCGATAAATGGTAGACCGACTGATTTTTGTCAGGATACAAATTCTGTTTAAAATTTGATTTTGCGAGGAATCTGGATTTTCGTTTTTCAGACAATCATACATATTTAGGATTACTCTTTGGGTCTGTTCCTCTAAATCTTTATGAAAGAATTCTGCCTGCACAGGTTCATCAACCATCTCCTCGTGGCTTGGAGCATTTTCCCAAGGTCTCCAAAGAGCCATATTTAGGACACACAAGAACAATCAACACAACAATTAAATCAACAAGTAAACTGAGTATTCAAAAGTCAAAAACACACAAACTAATAAAATCTATGAAAAAACACGGACAGACTAAAGAAAACACGTTTATTCACCGCTACACGGCACTGGCTAAACTGTTTCAATTTTCAGTAGCCACCTGCACTTGTTCCGAGCTCTGAAATACACGCTTTCTCATTGGCTATGTCCACGCATAGGCGTGCTTTACTCCACGTGGACCGGTGAAACTGCCTTTGATCTCTGATACGGGGGATATTTGCTGCGAAATTTGGCGATTTTTGCAGCAACAGAGCGTGTTAAATATAGATATATAAAACGCACCCGGTATTTCACAGTGTTTCAAGTGACTTCAGATAAAGTATACATGCCTTTTTATGTGGTTTTACCACTGGTCAGATCAACTGCTTACTCTCAAAACGATTTTGGCTGATTTGACTTATAATAATAATATTTACTCACTCCCGAAACACAATACAAAGAATGAGTAAATAAATATGAAGTAACGGCCCATATGAGGAATTGCCTGTACATGAACCATTGATGTTGCAACTGTATTATTGAAATATGAATAGAGATACAACTAATCAACGAATTATTTGATCACATTTACTATTAATTTGTATACGTCTGGTCTTGCCAAAAATCCATTGTTTCAACTTTTTCTTGAACTGACTCCCAAAGCATGGATCCTTCATATCGTCAGGTAAATGTACGAGTATAATTTTGGACCTAAATAAAGGTATGATCGTTGCGTTATAGATTTATTTGGTCTAGGTACAACTGTTCCTCTTAGTTTATGCCTTTTGTGGTGATTATCTTTAATTTTTTGGTCGTTATTGATAAATTTGTTATATCATGTAAGAGATGAAGCTATTTTATAAACCAGGATATCTACAATTTGAGAGAAAAAATGTAATTGGCTGTTTCATAACGAAAGGACATTCTTGATGACTATTTGAAAAAGCTCATTTTCGAGAAACTGGCTAACTTTTCTACTAAACCTCGGAAAAACCAGTTTCTGCCGTATATTCACATACAGTTATGAATTATTATTGGTGTAAGTTGTTCAGAAAAGTTTTAGGCCTATTTGCTGTAACGCTTGATTTATTATAAATAATTCAAAAATGTCTACACTTATTTTACCGGAATATGCATCACAATGACCAGAAGTAATGTCCAAAACTTCGAGCCTTAACTACAAAAAAAATATCATTCAAAAACACTCAACGGTGTCTGCAAATTTATAATTCTTGCTATTTTTTCAATAAGATGACCTCGTATTGGGCTCCTTCCTTCAGATCTGTCAAAACTGAACCCTTGCATATGCAAATATACAAAAAATAAAACTCTGTTTAAAACCAAAATACCTTCTTTTCACTTTTTTGTACCCTTTTACGTCAAATTGCTAACTCCATTATTTGTCCTCAGATCACATGGTTGTCTTTGCCCTCCCTGGGAACACATTGTATGGGCGCCCATGGTACAAAGTAAGTATTGTTAAAAGAAGTTTCTGTTGTTTTACCAGCACTTTTGAAATATTTGAAGACGTAGTTAAATAGAGAGAGTTTGATACTTTTCTGGAGTCAAATATTTCGTTTTTATAATTATACAAAATATGGGCCAGAAATCTGAATATCGGAGACTTGTTTTGGTGGAATGTGTCTATCAATGCCTGAAAATAACCCATTAAAATGGACATTAGGGAGGCGCCAAAAAGGTATTGAAGACCCAAACGCCATCAAGCTAAACAAAACACTCTAATTATTTTAAAAGTAGATTTCTAGATCAGTGTTACTTCCCATTACTGGTAAAGAAGCATTTTATCGCGGAAAATGTGATTTTATATTTTTTGGATGTCATGTGAACATTACGAAAAACCATGTCACTCAACCGTTGGTCTCTCAGTCAGTCTGTCTGTAACTTGAAAAGTACTGCTCGGATTTGGATGACATTTCCACACATATAGACTACTAACAGTTTTTGAAAATCGGTCCAGTGGCAGCGAAGAAAAATGCCAAAAACGAAAAAATAAATATCGGCTAAACTTGATTTTTTGACGTTTACTTAGAATGATTAGCGCGCGACCGTCCGTTTGCTCGCTGGCTGGTAGATTCTATTTCAAAATCGGTAGCAAGAAAAAATCATGGTCTGCGAAACATCAGCGGCGGATCAAGGGTTTTTGGGTCAGCCACCGTCTTCTATGAAAAAAATATGTTTTTGTCTTGCACAATTTTTCTTAAACATAAAAACACATTGGAAAAATAACGTATTGCACACACCTCAGGTACACGTGTTTCCTATAAATGGAAAAGCAAATCGAAAATTAAACCTCCTCAAAAAAAAAAACAATTTAACTAGTTTTGATCTACACACAAAAATCCAAATCTACGTTCCTCCAGTACCCGGTTGCCTAGGTGTACGCATATGTATACGCGAAAACTGCATAGAACTCATTTTTTAATTTTATTTTCAGTTTCAAATGTCATCTCTATTCCGGAAAAAAATCTGTAAATTAATATCAAAGATATTCTGAAAAATCGTGGAAAATGAGAATGTTTCCAGGGAATGCCTATTGTCAGCAGAAATGCCAAGAAATCGATAGGTTTGGCAACACTGCGCTCCGTCACCCTACCGCGTCGTGCGATCAGGTATTGAGAAGATGCGACATTGTCAGATAGACGGAACTACGGGTAGGGCAGGGAAAGAACGGCCTAATTGTATCGACTTATTTGACAGACCCGATCCGTTCAATTTCTCTGTTTTACATCTTCGTTACATGTTCGTTTTTCTCGAACGTCTAAGACAGCCAGCCATGGGCAGCTGTTTCGTGCTTTTTTGGCAACTCATCAGCATGGTCTAGGCTTTATCGGACCACGAACTCTAACTTGTGTTGAGCATAATCCTTTAAGATGTCATTTTTCATCATAGTTAAAATTGTGGAAATATTATATTCAAATTCAAAATATTTATTTCGTCATGAGTAAACATCATAAACAAAAGAAATTCTATATATAGAGTAATGACGAAAAAGGACAGTCTCTCGATTATAAAACCGATACATTGGACCCTTTAATACAAAGAGTCCATGCGAGAAAGCCCTGAATACCCTAAAAGTTCTTAAACAAAATAAAAAATACAATAAAGAGGCAAATGAAGAGGCGGTGAAACACAAAAAAGGCAAAAACGAAGAGAGAACCCCCGGGAGCTGGCAACGGACGCGAAAAACAAATCTATACAACCTGTCAGCGAGTAGGAATGTAAAAACGATATTTTTGCTCACACAAACGCTGCTAAAGTAGCTGGTGATTCTGTAAACAACGTTTTTGTCAGTTTTGAGAATGTTTTTGACGATGAGCTTTTAACTGAAGTTGGTAAATTATTCCATAAGTGAACCGTCACATAGGCAAACGATTGTCGGAAGGAACGCGTTCTATGCCTAGGTACGATAAAATTGAGATTATTTCTACTTCTCTGGGCACTAGGCAAAGGCACAAATCTTTCTCTTAAATAGGGCGGTTGACCTGTTTTTAAAACCCTATAGATAAAAGAATACATGTGATATTTTCTGCGATTCGTCATGTTTAATATGTTGTAGTTATTCAGATAAGGAGTGATATGGTTTCGATATGGAATTCCAAATGCAAATCTCATGCAACTATTTTGAACTTTTTGTATGCATTTTTTGGTTCGCGACGATAGCGAATCACCATAGACGACATCTCCATAGTCAAAAAGTGATAAAATTAAGGTATTACACAAATAATATTTTTGTTTGGCCGATAAATGTTTTTTTAATTTGTTTATAATTTTGAGTCGCATGTAAGCTAAATTTGTTCTGTTTTTTATATGACTGCCGAAGCCAAGCGAGCTATCAAATATAATGCCTAGATTTTTTGTCTCCTGAACTATGGGGATTCTGTCATTGTTAATAGAAATTACTAAATTTTGTTCAAAATGTTCTCTTTCAGTACTGTTTTTATTCATAACCATTACTTGCGATTTTGAGGGGTTTAGTTTAAGATTGTGATGCTTTGCAAATCTGTCAATTCTTTGGAGATCTGAATTTAGTTGTTGTTGTGCAATATGGATTGTGGTTTTATTGACAGGGAGATATATTTGTGAGTCATCTGCATATTGTTTTATCTTTGCGAATTTTACCGATTTGACCATGTCAGATATGTAGATTGAAAATAGCAAAGGAGATAAAATTGAACCTTGAGGAACTCCTCTTTTTATAGGTTTAAAATCGGTTTTGTAAATAGCAGAATCATTTGCTAACATAACACAGTTTAAACGGTTGCTTAAGTATGTTTTTATTAGATTTACGGAGTTCTGCGAAAACCCCTGGTAATGTAACTTAGCTAGTAACATTTCATGATTCAGAGTGTCGAACGCTTTACTAAAGTCGAGAAGAACCATGCACGTACTATTTTTTTGTTCTTGATGATGTCTGATATCATCCAAGATATTAACTAATGATGTACTTGTGCTAAAGTTTTTTCTAAAACCGGATTGACTATCTGGTATGATATCGTTTGTGTCACAAAAAAATCTAATTTGATTATAAATATGCCTTTCTAAAATTTTGGATGTAGCGGGTAATATGCTAATAGGCCTCAAGTCTGTAAATTCTTTAGGTTCTGCTATTTTTGGTAAGGGTTTAACAATAGCTTTCTTCCATATTTCTGGAAATAATCCCCCAAAATACATGTGTTGATTATATTCAGCAAGGCATTCGTACAAAATGGGATACATAACTTTAGGTCTCTCATAGAGAAACCATCCTCTCCAATGGCATTTGATGAGATATTAGTTACAATTTTGATTAGACTGGCCCTGTCTAACAGTTGGAAGCTAAGAGAATCGTTAATGTTTACATTGTTTTTGTAAAAATTGATTAATTCTTGGGAAGCAGTGTCTGGTAAATTGTGTTTTTCCAGAGTATCGTGGGGGCCTAGGCGTGAGGAGACATGTCCGTCGCCTCTGACTCATTCTCTGAGGAGGAGCGCAGCCTATTCCGTCCATTCACACGTGAGTCGCTCGCCCAGATCGAGCTTCGGATTGCTGAAGAATATGCCAAAAAGAAGGAACTCGAAAAGAAAAGAGCTGAAGGAGAGGTAAAGTAACATAGACACATCCGCATCTGTTATCAACACTCACTTACCCATTATCATTCCCTCACCTCACTGAAGTTTATGGAATAAAGAGAAGTTGTATCACTGGCAACTCATCTTTATTTTGAGAACTTTGTCTTCACTAGATTTTTTTTATTTAGTCGACTACCCAGAAACATTTTATCATCCCACTGTTTGTTTATTCAACTGTCTACTGCAGGTACAACGTGGTTTTCATGATAAAACCTAGCCTTCATGATGGTATATGCTCTCCCGCTATCAAGGACGAGGGTCATTTTTTAAGTAAGAACCGTTTCGAAATTGAGTCATTTATGAACGTAAATTGTACCATAAACTAAAATATTAACAGTTTTTCATCTTAACATTGTCACATTTAAACAATTGTTAATTCGTGGCGTCTTCAAAGACCTCTACCGTCCGACCATTAAACCAGTTAGAACTGTTTTGTTCAACATTTCATTATTTTGCAAGCGCTTTACACCAAAAAATTCATTAAGCTTTGGTAAAAGATGAACGTTTGATGGTGCTAAGTCAGGGCTGCATGGTGAATATTCCAGTAACTCTAACTCCGAACAAAACTTGCCCAGTTGGATCTGCGTGCTTGCGCTACGTGAAGCCGAGCGTTGTCGTGAAGCAGAATTACGTTGCTAGAGAGCAGGCCCTGATGGTGGTTTTGAGTAACGCGCTTAAGCTCAGGTGCGGATCCAAGCGGGGGGCAACGGTGCCATTTACCCAAGGCTTCAGACTTGCAGGAAAAAAATTAGGAAAGGGGAAAGAAGGAGAGATTCTATTTGTTTGAAAACTTGACTTAGAATGAATGTGCATTTTGTTCTTACACTGCTGTTTATTATTTTCCTTATTAATTACTTTATAATAAGCGCAAACTACTTGATAATAGGCAACCCACACTACTTGCCCCCTCTCCCGAGAAGCGATCCTGGATCCGCGCCTGCCTAACACCCACAATCGGCGAATTTACCGAGTGATATGGTGACTAACAAAGCAGTATAACCAAATAACCATGCAACTATATTAAGTGACATATAAATCCGAACACCCAGTTTAAATGGTTTTATTTTAATAAAATTTTGTAGAAGTACGTAATGAAGCATAATAAGTAAATGATAAAAATTTCAAAATGATTGCACTGCTTTAAAGCCCTTTGACCTTTAATAATGTGTAGATGCACCCTGATGTGCTACGCATTCTCCAACGCGCCTAGGCATGCTTCTGATCAGGTGGTCAATGTCCTCCTGTGGTATCTCATTCCAGGCAACCACCAACTCCTCTCGAAGTGCTTCTAGAGTCTGAGGAGGACGTTGCAAATTGAGCAATCTCCTACCCATCATATCCCACACGTGCTCAATTGGGGATAAGTCGGGATATCTTGGTGGCCATGGTAACAATGTGACATCATTATGTGACTCTTGCAACATGTGGTCGGGCATTATCTTGTTGGAAAGTTGGATCTGCCAAGGTGTCAAGATAGGGTAAAAGATGGGGTTCTAGAACTTCGTGGATATAACGCTGCGCGTTCATGTTACCTCTGATGAAGATTAAAGGTGACCTGGAACCATAAGCTATAGCACCTCAAACCATAACTCCAACAGTGTGATGAACATGTCTTTCAACAAAAAACTGTGGATTCCTCCTTTCACCACGTCGCCTTCTAACCCTAGCACGACCATCGTGCATGCGTAAACAAAATCGAGACTCGTCACTAAAGACAATAGTGTTCCATTCCTGATCCCAGAGTGACCGTTGTCTGCACCACTCAAGGCGATTACGTCGGTGTCCTCGAGTTAAAGGGAGGACCCAGTGTGGCCGGTATGAAAACATGCCAAAACTTCTCATTCGTCGGTAAACACTTCGCATGCCAATAGGTCTTCCGTGTTCTGCAAACCATTCATTTGCAATGGACCTGGTACTGGAGAAACGGTCCCTTAAGGTCAATAATTTTAGGCGGCGATCTTCACGGTCTGTTGTTCTACGGCGGCGTCCAGTGCCCCTTGCTCTTTGCGTACGGCCTTCTCGAAGCCATGCCTGACAACACCTAACTACAGTGTCTACACTTTTTTGCACTCTAACTGCAATTGCCCGAAAAGAAAGTCCAGCTTCCCGAAGTCCCACTATACGGCCCCTATCAAACTCACTAAGTTGACGAAATCGTACAGGTCTCCGTACTCTAGGCATCGTAACCGATCGTAAAGGATGTCAAGAACCAAAATCCGCCAACGTTGATTCTTTACTGCGGCTGAAATATTCATTTTTAGAGCGTTAGTGAATTAAAAAAAAGCAGTATAAAAACCGGAATGTCCAACTGATAAGGCTGAAATTTTTTTCACTTGTTATTTACAGTAAGATAAATACATTCACCAACTTTTATTAAAATAAAACCATTTAAACTGGGTGTTCGGATTTATATGTCACTTAGTATATCACTGGCAGAGACGTGAAACGTGCACTGTTGCGAAATCGGTAGATAGTGTCACTGAAATTCGGTAGGGAGAAAAAACCAGGGCCGGCACAAGATCAGTGGTAGGTCAAGTGGCTTTGCATAACCAACCTCGGTCTATGGAAAAATGTATAATCTTGTATTGTGCGCGCATACACAACACAGGTTTTCAGACGGCCCCGGAATATTTTTTCCGCTTTACTCCTAATCTTGAAGCTTCATCACCTGATATTGGAATTCAATATTTAATTGAAATCAGACGAGTTTCTGTTTCCTTGTTGCTAATCCGGCGATGCTGTCGTGTACTTTCCAAATTATATGCTTTTAAAAAAATCGGAAAAATCCTGTGATGATCTTTTAGTTCCCACTACTACAATTTCAAGTTTTTCTTAGAAGAAATGAGGGACAATGTCATTCTATGTGTCATTAATTCGTGAATGTATTCATTAAATTCACAAGAAATGTTCAAACTGCCTTCCTTCAGCAGCAATGCAAGCTTGACATGTTAAAAATGCTTCCTTTATTCTGTCCCGTAGCTCAGCCAATTTTTCGATTGGCTTCGAGCAAACTTTTTCTTCCACCGTTCCCCAGTAAAAAAATGAGTGGATTTAAGCCACGAAGTTGTACCACGGCATAGTACCACATGTCTCTGTAAATGCTTAGTGACTCGTCTTCCAATAAATTTGGTGAATGATTTTGTGAAAAATCTACTTAATTTTCGCCATTCAAGAACTCTGGCAGCTCAAAGGGTACAATGATTCTCCCATTTAGAATCCTCTTCGACATGTTTACTTTAAAACGATACTGTGATCTATATTGTCACATCAAATGTGGATTTTCTACATGTCACTCGTGTAAGTTGTGTAGATTCATGTAACCATCTTTTTTCAAATGTCGACTCACATTAGTAAATAAAATGTTCTCCAAAAATCAACGATTTTCCCGGTGTCTCTTTAACATTGTTTGATAAAACTCAACTCTTGGAAGATAATCCTAGGGTTGTAGAGATTGTACTCGCTGTACATGGTACGTTCTTTGGCAAGATTCGGTGGGCTGTACTCTTGGGCACTCCCATGCTTGCTTCTATTTGACGTACTAGGGTGCGTTTGTGAATCAATTGGCAATGTAATACCGTACACAGTAATATAGATTGACAGGTGAAATTTTACTCTGGCATACTGTGAAACTTTATTTTTAGAACGCCTAAATTATTACTACTGTAATGACACTTGATGACAGCCGACTAATTTTTAACCACGTTTTCTGCGGCCATTGTAGTTATTATAAGAGACCTTAAGGATACGAGGTAGCATTCATCCCTCTGAGAGTAAACGGTGCACACCCGGTGATCGGGATGACGACCATTATTTGGGTACCTCTCACAATCAAGCCTAGCTGCAGCACTAACATTGCATCTACATTCTCCATAAATGAGGTGTTTTATTGGCGGATTCCTGACGGTAGCCACAGACATGGTGGCAGAACACAATCACGAATTAATAACTGTGGCGTTAGTATCTGCCTTGCTGTCACTACGTAGAATAACACTATCTGTCACTCAGTCTAAGAAAAAACGGAAATTTGTAGTAATCTAAAAGCTCATCACAGGATTTCCGATTTTTTTAAAGCCTATATATAATTCGAAAAGTACACGACTTGGATTTTCTTATATTTTTCTGATATCTTCCACGAATTGGCCTCTCCTAACGTTGACTTCTGGGACACCCTGTATACCTGTTGTACGCACAAAAACCGATAAAGAATACAAATCAATATGACTGAAGTGGAGGAAGAGGAATTTTTCGGTACAAAATCTGAAAATATACTAAGTGACATATAAATCCGAACACCTATTTTAAATGGTTTTATTTTAATACAAGTTGGTGAATGTATTTATCTTACTGTAAATAACAAGTTAAAAAATTTTCAGCCTTATCAGTTGGACATTCCGGTTTTTATACTGCCTTTTTTTAATTCACTAACGCTCTAAAAATGAATATTTCAGCCGCAGTAAAGAATCAACGTTGGCGGATTTTGGTTCTTGACATCATTTACGATCGGTTACGATGCCTAGAGTACGGAGACCTGTACGATTTCGTCAACTTAGTGAGTTTGATAGGGGCCGTATAGTGGGACTTCGGGAAGCTGGACTTTCTTTTCGGGTAATTGCAGTTAGAGTGCAAAGATGTGTAGACACTGTGGTTATGTGTTGTCAGGCATGGCTTCGAGAAGGCCGTACGCAAAGAGCAAGGGGCACTGGACGCCGCCGTAGAACAACAGACTGTGAAGATCGCCGCCTAAGATTATTGGCCTTAAGGGACCGTTTCTCCACTACCAGGTCCATTGCAAATGAATGGTTTGCAGAACACGGAAGACCTATTGGCATGCGTAGTATATACCGACGAATGAGAAGTCTTGGCTTGTTTTCATACCGGCCACACTGGGTCCTCCCTTTAACTCGAGAACACCGACGTAATCGCCTTGAGTGGTGCAGACAACGGTCACTCTGGGATCAGGAATGGAACAG